ACTGTATACTGATGGTCCACCTTGCAGTTACTCTGGGAAATCCCTGCAGGAACTGGCCTCTGCATTCAGTGGGGCAAGTAATCCTCCTTTCCTTCCCTCTTAGGGGATCTAACCAATTCCTTTCCTTCTGTCAGTGAGCTTCAGTTATGGTGAATGTGCTGGAGCAAGTCCAGGTGTTATGATAATAGCTTATCATGAAGATGCCCTCTGATAAGTGCTTTTCCTACACTGACTCATTTATTTTCACATCCATGCTGTTATTGCCATTGCACAAGAGAGGAAACTGAGGCCAGAGGGGTAAGTCACTTGCCCCAGGGTGACTCAGCCGGGAACAAGGAAAGTTGGAATTCTATTCCAGGTTGTAAGGTTCTAGCAGTCGTAATAGGAGCCTCCAGCAAGGGTGGATCAGGGAAGGTTTCCAGAATCTTCTGAAGCTGAGACCCAAAGGATGTGGAATTAGCCAGGGAAGGTGTGATAATGATGTGCCAGCCAAGAAGCTGGGAAGGAAGCAACTAAGCCAAAGAGAATACCCTTGCCCTTGCTCTCTATTTAGCTTTAAATCTTATCTTGAACAGAAAAAATATTTACCTCCTGTGCTGAGACTTAGCTTCTGTTTATGTTTGAGTATCTCATTTATTTAATCAGAGATCAAAGCTTTCCCATTTTCTCCTCCAGGTTCCCCTTCAGTCAGTTAACTTCAAAGTTAACTGGGACATTAGTTTATGAAGATTTGTTCACATCCCTGAAACTAAATTTCTTAAATCTGCAGCCCATCTTTCTTTCTTTCCTGATGAATCTAGCACAGTGTCTTCATAAATATTTGCAAAATAAAGGAGTAAACAAAGTGAGGGATTCGTTTACCATCAGAAATGGAGTACGGCTACATCTTAAAAAGTTCCCACTGGCTTTTAGCCTTGTTCTTTAAAATACTAGAGCTTACTTTCATCAAATTTAAGATTACAATTGTACTGGTTATTTATTTACTTGTTATGGACCTTCTATCATCCCTCAAATCAAATAATGTGTACCCTATATAAATATATATATTTATATACATTTTTCTTCAACCTGGTAAGAATGAGAAAGAAAATCCTTAGAAATAAAAAGGTTCACAATTCTCATTAAATTCAGAGGGAGCATTTAAATGGCCAAGGCTACTTCTCCCAGAGAAAATGGTCTGTAAACCCACATACCGCAGGCAGCAGTACTCTACCCTGGCTACATATCAAAATTATGTGGGAGAGATTCTGATTTAATTGGTCTGAGAGGAAACCTGGGAATCAACATTTTTTTTTTAAAGTCCTCCAGATGACTGTAATCACAGAGATCCACTAGGCCAGAATGGAGAGCCACTAAGCCAGAACGATATCACTTTCTACCTGAGTAAGATGAACAAAGATGGTGCAGAAGAGTGAGAAAGTCCTCAGCCTTTAAAGTGGAGCCAGCAAGGGGAAGAAGATACTTTTCCCCCTAATCTTCCCTTACTTGTCCCCTGGCTCTTGGCCCTTCATTTCTAAGCTCTGTTGGAAGACCCAGAACCTTGGGCTCATCAGGGAGAGGTAGGGAATGATTATGGACACACCTTGGCCTCTCCCACAACTTCTGGACCACAGGTGACAGCATGATGGGTTTTTATTATACAGCTGCAAGCAAAGGTCTTCATAGTCAGTGGTCAAAAAGAAGAAAAAGAAAGCTGTCCTCTTTTCAGCAACAGCAGCAAAGAGTGATCTCCCTCTATCCCAGACAGGAAGAGAAAGTTGTTAGCTGGTTCCCAGGGGAGAGCTGGGGGCCAGGGGCAGCAGCCACTGTGCTGGAGGGGAAGTGAAAGAGGCTCTGGCCCAGTCCGTCAGGAACCACTGCATGCCATGCTAGGGTGTTTTTACTAGGCTGGAGAAAAGTAGTCAAAAGGGGAAACTGGACTGGGCTGGGGATGTGGTTCAGTGGTAGAGCACTTAGCTAGCACGTGCAAGGTGCTGGGTTTGATCCTTGGAACTGTTTAAAAAAAAAAAAAAAAGAAGGGGGCTATTGTCCCTTCACACAAGGCCTATAAGCTGCTGGAGATGATCAGAGTAGGGACGAAAACTGGCATCTCTGTGGATGCCTGCAAAAATTGTATACATGATATGGATGTGTGTGTGCGTGCACCTCTAATGGAAGGAGTTTCTGTTCTTCATCAGTTTCACAAAGCTTAAGGGTGACAACTGGCCTTGAGTAGCATCCATTCTAAGCTGAACACCTATTTGTCACCCATATACCCTGTTCTGTCAGATCTGTCCAATTGTAAGTAGCAGGGCAGGGCCTTGAGAAGTTACAGGAGTGACTGACATTCATCTTTGTGCTCAGCCTATGTCTTCCTACTCAGGGGTGTAGCTTCCTCACATCGAGATGACCTGTGCACAGCTAATTGTCACCAGCTTCATCCTCCACTCCAGTGTGGCGCTTTCCTTCCTATGCAAGCACAGGGGCTATTTCCTCATCTCTCTGTTCTTCCCGTCTGCCTTTGTGATCCCAAACTTGAATCCATTTTTCTCTGCCTCTAACCAGGTCTCTTGCTCTGCCCTTGACCTCCAAAGTTCAATGACAGTGATGTCAATCTTAAAGGTCCTCTGCAGCTTCCTAAGTTTCGGAACATTCTGAGATGCTCTTCTTCTCTGGTGGGGAGAGGGGCAGTGCTTAGCTCAGCTTTTCCTCCTGGGGAGCAGAGTTTTGGGGAACTCCATGAGGAGGCTACATTATTTTAGAGAAAATAACTAGAACTGACTTTCTTGATGCTACACAATAGCCAAAAATAAAACTATCCAACTAGTGTTAACTGTGGGGTAGAGGAAATACTAATTACTCTCATTTATATAAACTGCTTTTATGCATGCTTAATTTCCATCTAGCACAATAATGTGGATCATTAAGTGGGTCAGTTGCCTTTCATTTCAAAGATGAACTGTGTTCAGGTATGTTCAGTCTTGAAAGTTTGCTGATCCTGTGGCAGAGCTGTCTGCTTTCAATTTAGGGGGAAAAAAATCATTAGAAGAGAATGTTGGCTTAGACATAGAAGGCAGGGAGGGGAAAGGCGCCTAACAGGTCAGGACCCTTTGCATCCTTCATGATTAACTGTGTGACCTTACCTCTCCAGGCTTCCTTTCCTCCCCACCATGGTGGGAAGCACTGGGTACTGACTTTGACTCCCCCGCCCACCACCACCATTAAGCAGTAGCTTGCTTGCTTGCTTTCCTTTCCTTTTTTTTTTTTTTCCTAAACGAAACATGCAGAAGCAGAAATGTTTCCCAAAATATAAAGCAGGTGAAAGAAAAAAAAAAAAAAAAAAAGAAAGCCACGTAAGAGTATCTCCGAGGTATCTGCACAGAACACTGGGGTTCAGGGTCATCTGATGATCAATGACTTTGTAAGAAGTGGCCATTCTGGCAAGGCACCTTATGAACTCTTACAGCTTTGGAGGAAGGGTCAGAATAACACCCATATGATGGAAGGTGCTCCTAGCAAAGCTGGAAATTAACCTGAGGCCACTGCAAAAACAGGTGGAGGGAAACACTTCATTCTAAGCTTCTGACCATAGTGGTTAAGATGCATGCTTGGCATTCCCTCACACTCAAAAAAAGCTCAACCCAAGTGATTGCTATTTCAAACTGACCTTTCCAAATTGTTGGTGAGAATTAAATGAATTGACTCAGATATGCCTCAATTTCAAAAGAGGCAGTTTTGAAACCTATGGTTCCCTGAGCTCTAAAATACTAAGCCATTTGTCCTAATGACACAGCAGACTCTGAACTCTGGAATACCACAGGAATATCACACCACTGCAAATTACTAGGGGTGCTGAGTCTTCAAAAAAAGGGGAAGTGAAACAAAAGCTCGGCTCTGTTTTTGAGATGCATATTTGATATGGACAAATTGAATAGTTTCTGAGATTATTTTCCTGGAGGCATTTATTCTGCACAGCTACACAGCCCTTAATTTTTTCCTTTGTTATATCTATCTATGTATAAACACATCGCCTCTATAGTGGGCTATAATCTCTCTCACTGAAGCTTCCAAAGACAAGGCCTTTTTGTCATGGGTAAGTGCAGGGCCAGTCAACCTTACAACCTTACAAAAGGAGTCATTTAATGCTTAATTTCCCCAACTTTCCTATGATTAAAAAAAAAAAAGGTCTAACTTCAAATGCTGTAATTGTATTACATCTAGATTGTTTTCTTTCTCCATCCCCCAACAAATGTTTAAATTGTCTCTAGTGGCAGGGACGCTCTCCCCCACCCCACACATTTTTTATCAAGCCAACCTTGAAAAATGAAACACTCTCCTTTTCTCTGGCTTACCCTATTTTAAAATTGAGGCCCTTTGACCTTTTCAACAACACACTTCTTGCCTGACACACCAAATGCTAATTTGAAAGCCAGAGGAGGTAAAGGGTCTGGGTAGCTGGGCAAAGGATGCGGGGAGGTTCTATATATTTGGCATCAGCTCAGAAATTCAGAAAATGTTTGTGCAACCACTCCCCCAGCCAGGATCCCAACCCCCACCCTCATCACAGGGCCTTCTAGCACATTAATCAAAAAGGACGTGAGAGGATGAAATCGGAGAGCCCAGGAGGACAGTTAAGGGGGTCACGATTGTGCACCCAGGAAAGCCCACTGTTCACTGGCACATGTCTACGCCTCATCCCTCCTTTCCCGCATCCAAAGTTTTGGATCAGGACCTCTTCGGCTCCCACCCCCACCCCCAGAGGTGGCCAGCTAAACTTTGAAGCAGCGCCGCCCATGAACGGCTTGTATGAGACAAACTGACACTGCTTCTGCACGTCGAGGTGGCAGCGCTGTGCACCTTAAGAATCATGTATGTTCTTATTTAAAAGGAAAAAAAAAGTTCAGCGAACGCACAAGCCTGGAACACATTAACTTGTAAACTGAATCGAACACATCTCAAGAGAATCCATCCCCCTCTCAAACAAAAAGAAGGGGTGGGGGGGAAAGGCGAAGGCACTTTACCATCTTGTCCTGAGCTTTCCAGATACTCCGTCAGGTCACAGCCAAATGCACTGGCGGCCCCCTTTCGTTTCAGCTTCTGCTTGGCACCCTTGTTCTTCATGAGTTAGTCCCAAAGAGGCTGCCCCTCCGTCTCTCCCTCTCTCTGCTAGGCACCGCGCGGACGATGGTCTCCGGGGTTAGATCACTGGCTGCAGCGCGGCGCTGGGGGTCCGCATGGGCGAACCGAAGGACGTGGGCCGCGGGCGCTGGGCATGGACCCCGAGGGGTTGCGAGCCCGGGTGCCGGCGCGCGCGGGCCGGGGCGCGGCGGGGAGCGCGGCCGAGCCAGCAGAGCCTGAAATCCACCCCGCGCGCCTCCAGGGCCGCGGTGCCGGAGGCCGTGCAGAGCTGGCAGCTGCGGGCCGGCTCGCTTGGGAGTGTCACTTCCTCACTTGGAGTCGCAGGGACTTTCACAGGCGCCTGCGATGTCTTCGGCTGCTTTTCCTCGGCTTCAGAGGGAAGGCGAGCTCTCCTCTTCGCCTTCCTAAGTGCCCAGGAGAGATCGCGAGCGCGGTGAAGGCGGCTTTGGCTAGGGGCGAGGAGACCGCCCCGGAGCTGCTGTGTGTCTCTGCCCTGGGCCCGCTGTCTTGCCTTCAGACGGCTTCGGTAAAGCGAAAAACAAGCATCCTGTCTCCCTCGCCCGCCCTCACGCCTTCCTTTTTTTCCTGTCTTACAAATCCTAGGATCATCCAGCTCAGGAAACGCTGGAAGGAAGTTAGCTAGGGAGGGGGGCGGAGGGTGGAAATTTTTGGCAGCTCCGTGCTCGTGTGTGTATGGAGCTGGAGGAAGTAGGTGGGTGGGTTGAGGAGTACCGGTTGGGGGAGAGAATGCGCTCTCCTGCGGGCCGTTCTGCGACTTTAGAGATAGCTCTGGGCGGCCCAGAGGAAATCACCGCTCTCCTAGGAGGACCCGCAGCCCGGCCGCCGCTTCCTGCCCCTCCAACACAGCTCTTTGAAGAGGACAGGAGGAGGTGCCCTGGCCTTCTGCAAGGAGGGTGCGCGATGGGGCTCTCAGAAAGTTCTGCTTTAGTGTACTCCTCACCGTCATCCTATCTCTGACACTTTCTATTTCGGTGCCTGCCTTTCTCCGCCTCAAACACCTAAAGAGCAATGACAGAAACAAAGACCAGGACTCCAGCAGAGAGACCTACCTGACAGCCAGCTGGGTCTGCGCTGGCCACTTCCATCCCTCTCGGTACCCCAAGCCTAGCTGACTCCCCAATCCACGCTGAAGTAAGGATACCCTTGGGCTAGAGTAGCTTCAGCTTTGTTACCACTGCCCCAGAAATCCGATTTCTGGTTACAGATTCACACACATACACACCCCACACGTGCAGGAGCAAATTTATTGCAAAGTGTGCTAAATGGAAGTGCTTTTGGGGGAAAGAATCTGGGATTTAAGGGGCCTCTGACATTTTAGCAAATTGTAGAGAGAGCATTCTCCCAGATTGTTTCATAATTTGTCCCAAGTTGTTTTAGGAGGACATGTTTTTCCTTCTCCAGTTGGACTTGAAATTCCTTGACTTCTGTGTACTCAGCACACAGTAAGCACTCAAATTCTTGTGATTTAACTATTTGAGGATTAGATTAAACTTCCTGTATAAATACAAATCCATATATAGGCTTGAAGGGTAGAGACAATCTCGCAGCTCAGATTGCTGGCAAAAGCTTTATGTATAGTATTTTAGTTACTGAATCCCTTTACAGTCACTTATATATCACCATGACAGTTTGTGAACTTTAACCCCTGACCTTTTCTCTATGTCAGCTCACAACCTGATAGTTACCTAGCAAATCTGGCTTACAGATGTGTTTGTCTTGGTGCAGTCCATGTTTTAATTTAAAAAAAAAATTGTCAGCACTAAAGAGTTAAGAGATTTTTGCATACGTGATCTGGATTTTTGCTTTCTCTTCCAAAAATGGAAGATATGGTTACACCACAAGTGCATTTCTATATGGCAAGGATTGGTGATGCCAGGTTGTTACAGCTCCCTTAGGGCTACCCTCTTTAGACAGATGAGCCTTCCAGTTTTGCAGCCTCTGCTGCCTGTCTTCCCCTGTTTACACCTGCCTGGCCTCTGCAGTCACTTGAGTTTGTGCCCCTCTGTATGGTCTCTTCTTCCTTCCATTTTTCTGTCTCAGTGATACCAGCATCATCCCAGTAATCATGGTGAGACATCTCCACGTAATCACTGACTCATTGCTTTCCTTCTGCCCCACCACCAAGTTAGTCCTGCCTAGGCCATGAGTCCTTCAAGATGCCTCTCAATTGAGGTTCTTCTTTTCCAGGCCCACTCAGTGATGATCATTCACTCCTCAGTTACTAGAATAATTCCTAGTGGGTTTTGCTGAGCACTTCATCTGTCCTCTGTATTGAAGGCCTGACACATCCTCCTGGAGCACTGCTATTATATGACTGCTCACTGAAATCCTTCCATTCTCTTTCCTATTGCCAAGGCAGCAATGTTTAAGCATTTTGTGAGCTGCTTGGAGAATATCCAGTAGGGCATTTGATATAATGGCTTGTTCCTCCTTTTATTTATAACGAATCATTTTGTAATGAGACTATAATTATCACTATTAACATTTGTTTAGGAGTTTACTTTAGCATGTATTACTTCAGCTGACCCACAATGGATTTCATCACTTTGTCAGCAAGAGAGAGAGGCAGAATGGCACTTTTTTCCTGGGTCTAGACCCGCAAGGCACAAACTATGGATAAATTGTTAAGGCCTGTGAATTTCATTTTAAATCTTTAAAAATATTCTTTTACCTTTTCATTTTGAAATAATTTTAGTTTATAATTTTTTTTTCAAAAAATCGTCAAAGAATTCCCATCTACCCTTCACCCAGCTTCCTCAAATATTAATCTTACATAAGAAGTACAGTTACCAAAATTAGGAGGTTTACACTGAGAGAATAATACTAACAAATCAACAGATGCTATGAAATGTGAACCAACTTTTAATTCCATAAAGTTTTTATTAAATATGGCCTTTCTCATAGCAAAGTCAATTAGCTAAATATGGGAATAATGACTTATAAGTAATCATCAAAATACTTCACAGTGTAACTTTAGCTATTTATAAGGTTCCCTTAACCACCATTGAATCGAGCAGATGTAGTTTGTGGGGAAATGGGGCTCCCTGTGTGAACTAATAAGGCTAGTTAGCAACCTTATCAGCCGTCAGATTCTTCCATGCTTTATTTAGAATTTCTCCAAAGGACTCCATCATCATAGGCTTTTTAAACTTGGAACACCCCCAGAGATCTTTTGGTCCCTGCTTCACAATAAGTTGGTTCAAGTTGTTAAGGGTTCAGGGTGGAGATAACGTTGAGTCCCTGGCAAGGTGTTCATTGTGCCTATTCTGATTGAACAAATTTTATTAGAAATGTGCACTGGTGGGTTTTGTTTAAATCTCTGTTTGTTAACCCTTGATCATTATGATGTGATGAATTCACAGCCTATTAATTCAGATAATAAAATCACACAGTGACAACCTCACTTAGGGATCTGGAAAGTGTGCTCCTTCCCATTTGTTCCCCGTCCCCTCTCAATGTTGAGCATGACCTGTGACAGATGCCAAATTTGAATTTCACCTTTCTCCTAGAAACCTTTTTTCTACTTTTCTTTCTCTTTCCTTCTCCCTCTTATTTTTTGCTTTTCTCATTTCTCTTTTTCCTTTCTTACTCTAAGGAGATTCTTCTATGGGACTGTGGAAAAAATTCAGATTTGGGTTCCGAAGGGGTTTCCCACCAAGCTGCAGATTTCCTAGGGCTCAAGGTTATATGGAGATAGTGTAAGAATGTTAACTTAAGGAAAAATAAGCTATTTGGTGATACTGTAAATTATGCCCTCAGCCGATTGTCATGGTGCCGACTTGCTAGGAAAGCACTTTCTCACAGGGAGAAACCACCGAAGAATTCTGTGGTTGCTTACAGTCCCTCTTATTTGTACCTGTTGAGGACAGATGCCTATTGAAGTGCACCATCTGCTCCCTTCATCACCCAGAATGCTAGCTAGCAATCACCTTTACTATAAATAAACAGATATAGAAGATACAAAGCAGGTATTGGGACGTTTAATGTTACTCATGATCTTAACTTTTCTTTTACCCTGTTTGCCCATAAAAATAGACTTGACTATCAACAATTTTAGCATTCTCCCCCATCTCCTAGTAATTTGTTTAAATGTTCATATATGATTCCTTGGCCATGGGCTGCCATGAGTGTGTTCTGAATATCAAGTTCTAGGATGCTGGAGTGTTACCTCATTTTCTTGCTGAATACATTTCTTCCCCCACTTCCTCTCCATTCCTACCTCCACAGCTGCCCCTGTTTTAAAGGTGCTTGTGTGGTATCTACTTTGATGTGGTGTGGCAGTGTGTATCTTTCAGACAGGCCTTGAGCCTGACCTCAGCCCAGCTATCAATACCCTGAGGTTCTGAAGCCAGTAGAGGATGAGGGTAACTAAAACAAAAAGGCTTCCAGAAAGTTTTGTATCCCAGACTGTGTTGTTGCATTTCCCTATATGTGGGTTTCTAATTCAGGTTATACTGCAAATTTTTGCTTCTAAATGTCCAAATGAGGTTGAACACGCTTCCTTAGACAGTATGGGGAATGTGGAGCTCCACATTACCAATCCCTAATCAGATGTCAGAGAGATTGTAAGTCCAAGTGGAGGAGAGGCCAACTTGATGGAAGAGAAGGATGGGAACTGTAATCAGTCTCCCACCCTGACCAACTGACTGACCTCCCATTGCTCCACCATCTCGGTGACTATGAAAGCCAGCATTGCTTCTAAAAGAGCTTCCAAGGGCAGAGCAGTGCTGTGATAAGAATGGAGGAGAGGGGACTTTAAATGGCCACTCCCAGCCTGAATGTTGAAGAACAGACCAAGTCATTATTGCAATATCTATTCATCTTTCCCTCCCTGCTCTCTCCCTCACATTGTGTATTTCAGTTCATTTCAGTTCCTGGAAGCTACAAAACTGCGTTAGTCAGGGGGAAAAAAAACTGGAGGCACTGCTTCACGCCCTGAGAACATAAATTAGTTACCAGTCAGTCATTTGGGGGTAACAGGGGTGGAGGGTAAGAGCATA